AAGATGGCTATGCAATTAAAAACCATTGCAACCAAATTGTTTAATCCAACATTGAATGTGGTTCGTCATCGTTCCCGCGGATCAATTTTACCGACATTTTGGGAAGACCCATTCACACAACACAGAAGTTTGATAAGAGATTTTTGGAATTCGGATCCATTTGATAGTATTTTTCCGAGTCGTTCCACGGGTTACAGATTGCCATACTGGGAAGGTGATAGGTATTTGAACACACCTAAAGACGGATTTGAAGTGAATTTGAACGTTCAAAATTTCAAACCAGAAGAAGTTTCTGTGAAAGTGGCTGAAAATAACATCATAATCGAAGCGAAACACGAAGAACGCAATGAAGATGAAAGTTTTGTGTCGCGACATTTCAGCAGACGTTACAGATTGCCCGACAATTGCAACATCAAAGAGGTAGTTTCCACTTTATCGGCTGATGGAATCTTAACAGTTCGCGCTCCACCGAAAGAAATTGATACCAAAAGTGCACGCACAATTCATATCCAACATACCGGCACATCTCATGTGGAAACCGAACCAAAGAAAACCGATGAAAATAAAGACGAACAAAAAAAGTAGATAGTAGGCATTCCGATTTATTGTATTAAGGAGCAAATAAAAATATTTATTAGATAAACATAAGATGAATCGGTGTTTTATTTTTACTTGGCTTGAAATTAAAAAAAAATGTAGGTACTAAATTTGTAAACAGGATTCATTTTTATTAAGAGGTAAGTTCTATGCAATTGTCGAATTTTGTTGCGCAATACTATTGCTATTGAAACATGATGAAACTCAGACTTGAAGTGGTGAAATACGCATATCAACAGAGGCGTCATTCTATCAATATGTACGTAAGTCGGTATAGGTCTTGTTTATCACATGAATGGTTAACTTGTTAAAAAAAAACCGAAACCGTCACTGCAGTAGCCAGTCGCCACCAAATTTTGTTTGCTATGTTTTTCATTTTTGAAAGATATGTTTGATTGCTTTGATTAAGATACGAAATTCCCAGCCTATGAATATAGTTGAATTACTAAATGATTCGGAATCAAATAATATATCACAAATATATACGATAAGTCATGCCTTTCTAATTTCTTCTGTAAAAGAAATTGAGTTTGCAAAAAAAAATCCTCGGAAATTAAAAAATTATAAAAAATGTAAACCAGAAACACATCTTTCGATCCGATCCTATTTTTAAATTTATTGATCTTTAAACTTATTTTATAGATTCTCTTGTCGACCCAATGCCTCAGAATGATACAGAAATAAGTCGGCGATTCTATATAAGATTTAATTGCGTGCGTCGTATAACGAAAACGTTCTGTCAACAAATCGTAAACAATATGTATTCTAGAGCAAAGCGATTCGTATAAATACTGTGTGTCAACGTATTTCTCGTCAGTAAAGTAGGAAAATTCTAATAGAAAGCACAAGCCAAGAAAATTATTTCAGAAACGATTTAAAGTAAAAAGTGAAATCTCAGTAAACACAGAAAAATGTCGAATTTGCCAACGTCAAGAAGTTCGAGTGAATTTCATCCAGCTTGTCATCGACCAGGTTGCCACCGTTCACCATTCGATTTGATTCGACCATTCAGCCTCGATGGACCGCTATTGAGATCGGGCTTTGGAAACACTTTCCAACCAATTTTTGCGGAAATGTCAAGAGCATTAAATAAAATTGAACGTGAATCTAAAGTGAACAGCGATGGATTGTTCGAGGTTTACATTGACGTTCAGCATTTCCTACCAAACGAGATCACAGTGTCAGTGGAAAATAATTCAATTGTGGTGCATGCCAAACATGAAGAGAAGAACGATGAGCATGGTTTTGTATCACGGGAATTTACGCGTCGATACGATTTGCCGCAGAATTTTAATCCAGAAGATGTTGTTTCGAACATATCATCGGACGGTGTATTGAGTATTCGAGCTCCACCGGCAAGCAGTGTCCATCACATTCCAATTGAACAAGATGGATCAACTCATTCAGGAAATGAGGCAATGGATGTACAGAAATAAGTTGAAAAGATTGCATTTTGATTGGTGGAACTAATCAAATTCGTTGAGTTTTTATTGAAAAAATGTGATAAATTTTAAGGAAAGTGTGAATATTTCGAATATTATTTGTAAATAAAAAAAATGTTGTCTGATATTGATAGAGTCTCCTCCTTTTTCTAAGGCGTAATACGAAATCTATTTGTATAGTGTCAGGAATATTCTTGGACACCACATCATTATTTATAATATGAAATATTTTGATCTTCAGATATTTTTAGAATGTTTTTCAATGTTCAATGTCGAAGCTCCAAATGGAACAACGCCAAATTGTAATCAACAATTTTGCGCTATAAATACAAGTGTAATAATGCACATCAAATCTGAGTAATCAAAGACGAGTCGTCTCCAACATTGCTTTTATAAACATGAAATACAAGAATGAAATTAATTTCTTTCGCATTAACGATATGATGTAGGCTTGAATGTAGGGCTGTAGGCGCACCCAATTTATCATAGCAATAATATTGAATGTCTACTTTGTCGATTTGAAGATAAAATAATGTAAATTGATTGAATCAACATCTGATGTCCAATTAAATGTCGATGACCTATTTGAATAAAAATATCTGTTGAATTTTCATATTCCGTCACAGCAATAGCTTACCAATTATAACTGGTAAACATGGTGTTTTAGGTTTGTTGCATTTAAAAATCATACCTTTATTATAATCTCAACAACAGAACAAACCTCTATTCATCATTATATACACAGCAATAAATCAGCAATAAATTCAAGAGAATGTTCCAGGACAAAATTGAAATCGGTGCCATGCAGAATGTCCTAAAATGTATCACCAGTCAACCAAATAAAAGGCGCAAATGTTTTTTTTTTAATTAATTTTGTAATTTTTACAAAGAATTTTTATTTATTTTTGTTGTATTCGAGTGATATCGTATTTTCAATTGTTAATTGTTTTTCATGTTCAATTTAGTTTCATATTTTGTTGTTTGTTGAATTCATTACATAATATATTCATAATTATGTTTTTTAATATTTGTTTTTGTTTTTATTTAAATTTATGCTGTGTGTGGATGTGTGTGTGTGTGTTTGGATTCTACGCTTTTCTTTATGTTATTTATTTTCAATTTGAAATCAATTTTTTATTTATTTTTTTTTAAATGTTTTATTTTCTGTTTTTATTTCAATAAATTCTAGAATTAACTTTTGTTTTTAATTTACATTTAATAGTTATTTCACTTCATTTTTTTCAAAACTTATCTTTACTACAATAATAACACTACATCGAAGAGAAATTGTGTGTGTGTGTGTTTGTTTTGTGTATAATTTTCCATTATTTTTTGCTTTGTTTCCTCTTTTTTTCATAGATATAGTCTTCGTATGTGGCATATGTGTTTCCGTTACGAATATGGAAAATCTTGCCACAAATATATATATTTATTTTAATAGTTTATCGATGAGTTAGAGAAGAATGCTTTCATGCAGAACACACTGTCCATGAAAAACGTTTCGTAGTTTAAATTATAAAAAAAAGAGAATGGATGTAAATTTGTAGTAATGTTTTTCATCGCGTTTTTTTATAGTTGATTTTTTTCTTGTTTTTCTTTGAATCATTATCATAAATCATTAAAATTAAGCTTAAAAATTAGATGCATTTTTTGTTGAAATATTTACAAAGAAACTTCTATATAATTATACGTCTAGTTTTTTTACAATAGTTTTTTTTTTATTGTATTTTCTTTCTCATAGTCAGTTTTTTATCTTCTTCTCCTTTCATTCATTTTCATTTTCTCAGAATAATTTTGGTTATTTTGAGTCGTTTGTCATATGTTGGAAAGTAAATTAGTTTGTTGTTATCAGCGTGTCAAAGTTTTTTTTTTATTAGCTCAAATAGATATTTATTTTTTTTTTTCAATTTCGTTTGTTGTCGTGAATTTAGCCAAAAAGTAATGGTTTATGGTAGCAGTGATCATATTTTTGTATTGTTGTTCTTTTTTTTTTTGGCTGAAATGTTGTCAAGGCGATATTATTTCCAATATCAAATGTATCTATATATTGTACTACATTGTTTAATTCGAATCCGATTGATCCATGCTAAAATTGTTGGTTTTATTCTCGCATAACTTCAAATTATTGTATTTGATAGTTTGAACACAGCGCGCAGATAATTAATTAAGAATATGTATAATGCAATGTTGTATGTGTTTATGAGGGGGCATTTTCCTTCATTTCTTTCGCTCTCTCATTCGCTTGCGAAACAAAGGACAAATCCATGTGAATATATGATTTGCTTTAGTTTTGCCCAGTTCGTATACATTTTCTTGATGTATATTCTTTTTTTAAAAAAATGTGTAAGTAATAATCCTTGTTCAAGACAACGCTCTTTTTTCACGCTCTTTTTTGTTCGCGATATTTTGTCAACAATAAAACATTTATAACGGCAACAAATATGATGCATAATTGTGCACTCACACCATCTTCCATTGATCGACGATGACGCAGACACAGAGACAGACACACACACAGTTTGTTTTTTTTTGTTTGTTTCCTTGTGTATACGAGAGTGAGATCAAAACTTAATATAATTAAATATACAAATAGGTTTGATGAGATAATTATAAATGTATTAACAAAAATCATTACACATGTGTCTGCGTTGTTGTTATATTGTATTGTTTTTTTTTTTTGTATGTATGGTGCGCACAGCATCATTTTCGTTTCGTTTAGAACTTTTGAGGTAAGAATGAAATTACAAAAATTGACAAAATATCAAAAAAGGATATTTATAGGTACAAAAGATGTGTCTTAGCTAATACAATCTTATCATACCGTATCTCGTCTTATTTACAAAATCAACAGTGGTGTTTTGTTTGTTATATCGAGAATAAAATGTTTGTTTGTTTGTTACAACGATTTTTCATTTTACGTTCAAGGAAATGTTCTGTTTCCATTGTCAGCAAGCAGTAGTCATATAAATTTGGTTATATATTTGTTTTTCTTTTTTTGTTTCTCTTTATTTTGACGATGTTGGACAGTATTATTTTCAATCTTTGATTGGACATCGTTCGGTTGATTCGAATTTTTTTCACTTTACTCAGACGGTCGCTATAACAATCAGTAGATGAGCAATATCAGCGACGCGATGCAATAAATCGGGAGCAATTCGGGCTAGATTTTCATTGGCAAAGTCACACGATGGGAAAATGTGCACAACATAAGCAGCTTGTTCAGATCCTGAAATAACACAATATTAGAAAACAAAATACATTTGATTTAAATACACTTTGTTTTACCTGGTGCAGGAATATTCACGATGCCAGCAGCTTGTTTCTGTTGTAAGTAAGTGATGAAGCCGGTTTGTAAATTGGTTGACTGCTGCAATACATCCAAATGATCTCGACCACAAGGCAAAGCCAATAGCATACAATGTTCGTTGTCCGTCTGTTTGTCGAAAAAAGAAAAAGTTATTTGGCATTCGAATAATTTAAATTCGACTGGCTTCTGTGTGAAAGTGCTCAACTTACCTGCATCTTTCGAGCAACACCCTCCAGCTGTGCTTGTTCTAATCGCATACGCTGTGCAATTCGCAGTGGTGGCGTCGATCCATCACTATTACACGGCAACGAACCGCTTGCCACTTGAGGATTACCAAATACAAAATGCATTTGAACGGCTGCTTGATCGGTTTTCAATGCCAATAAACCTTGCCACATAACTGGATAGCGTTGTAACAGCATCAACAGTGAATCGGCTTGTGGTGGCACTTGACTTGCATGCGGTGGTGTTGTGACTTGTAAACTTCGGCCGGGACCGGGTGTCGCCATTGCCGACACCATTCCACTTGGGCATGGTGTATTTGTGTGTCCTTTGAATTAATGTTTAAAAACAAATCAGTCAGATTCAAAAATTTAAAGAAAAAAAAATGTTTGTTTTGATGACACAATACCTGGTATTGATGATTTTCGTTCTTTTTCTCTTTGTTCGCGTTCACGTTCACGTTCCAATGTTTTTGGCATCAAATGTGCAGGCAATTCACCGGCAGCCGCATAGTTGATGGGCGGCGTTGCGCTTATTTGATTTCGATGAGCTGGTGGTGGTTCAGTTGCTGTTGGTATGGTCGGACGTGCACTTTCATAGAATCGCGCACCAACGTCTGGATAGTGTGGATGTGGAATCACTGTTGATGATTTTTTTTTTATGTAATTAGATTTTTTCTTATTCGATCTGCGTTTATATTGTGGCTAAATGGAAGAAGAAGAAAATATTTACCTGTAGCACGATCTTGAGGACTCTGTAAACTGTTTGGCACGGCAACTCTTTGTCCAGCAACTGCTCGACGCAATTCTAACGGTGGACTTGTTCCCAATGGCTCTTCGAATGGAATTCGAGCTCCATGGGCCAGTGCTTCGGGTGCACGGTAATATTTCTGATAGAACATTAACGAATTTTGAATGCCAAGAATTGGTACATTTGGATAACCAGCATCACCCTGAATTGAAACAAAAACAAACGTTATAAATAAATGTTTTGCTCTTCTCTTCGAATAAAATAACACTTTTTTTTATTTAATCAATAATTGTTTCCTCAATCGAATAAACTTAAGAAACCAAAAGTAACGAAATGAAAATTGAACGCAAAATTCTCAAAAGAGTCTGTTTGTTGTAACAAATGAAATTTTCTATCGAAAATTACCAAGTTAACTGGAGTTATGGGAGAAGCCTGCTGATGAGCAGGCGGTGGACTTTGATTTCGAAGTAAACTAAATCCACCAATATCCGAATGCTGCGTCCGAATTTGAATTTTGGAAATGGTTTATTAGATATTGTATTGGTTTCGATTTATAATCAAAACTACTTACCAAATTAGCTTCAAATCCAGGAACAGGTAATCCTGGCTGTTGTACACTATGCGGCCGACTTTGTTGACCTTGTGGACTCAATGGTGGAACGTTAACACGAGAACTACTGGCACCTGTTTGACAAACGAAAGAAAAATTTGATTTAAATAGATGCGATTGAGTTTTTGCTTCATACAATAACTTACTGGCAATTATTGGTTGTTGGCTGCTCAAGTGCGGTTGTTTTGGTGGTGGACTTGCAACGGCACCGGTCATTATTTGCGAGGCTTGATGAAGTCGTATTTGATTTGATGTTGGCATCGACTGTGACGGAATGTGCTTGGCAACAGATTGCTGTTGCTGTTGCTGATGCTGTTGTTGTTGCTGATGCTGTTGTTGTTGCTGTTGCTGATGCTGATGGTGATGCTGTTGCTGTTGCTGTTGCTGATGCTGTTGCTGTTGCTGATGCTGTTGCTGTTGCTGTTGTGCGATCGAAGGTGGTGGCGTTTGAATTTGTTGAATGTTTGGCGGCAAAATGTGTTGCCTTAATTTCGGCGATGGAACCGTTTCGTATTTGCTTGTACTGGTTCGCACTTGCAGTGGAACGTTGCCAACAAATGGTGCGGATTGTGTCGATTGTATGCTAATTTGATGAGCTGAACCCGGTTTTGATTGTTGTTGTTGTTGTTGGTGTTGCTGCTGTGAAATGTGTTGCATTGGCATCGGTTGTGTTGGTCCCATTTGAACCATTGGCCCAGGCTGCGGCATATGATGTGACTGTGTTTGTATAACCTTTCCGCTGCACTGCACAACGGATGTATAATTCGTTGAGGTCGGTGGCATGTGCATTTTATTCGGATGAATGACAAGCGGTTTTTGCGATAATATTTGCGGTGGATGAATATTGGCCACTGAATGTTTTGGAACGTGAATCGAATACTGTGGTTCATGAATTGAGGCTTGTGTATAGGTCACCTTGGCTGCAATGCTTGGTGAGTGGCGTGGCGAATGTGCCGGTATATTGGCCGGTGAACTAGATGGAATATTCACAATCAATGTGTTCTTGTGTTGCGCTTGCAAATGTGGTGGTGGTGTTGGTTGCGGTAGCTGTTGAGCAACAGATACTTGAATTTTCGGCGGATATTGTGGCTGCTGGGCAATCACAGTTGCCGGTGAATCTTTGCCATATTTATGCGATTGAATATTCGGTTGGACAATATTACTTTGAATGATTGCCGTCGATTTAATAACCGGTTGGACATTTGACATATGCGATATACTTGGAACAGTTGTGCTCAAAATTACCGGAGTGCCAGCGCTCGATATAACTGGTGCTTGTGACACTTTCACATGCGGTGAAGTCATGACATGAGTTTTCATTGAGTGCGAATGTGGATGCGGATGTGGATGTGGTTGTTGTTGTACTGGCATTGGCGTCGGCTGGGCATGAACGATCGGTTGAATTTGAATTTGTGGCTGTGGTAATTGTGGAGCCAGTGTTTTCTCAATCGACATCGACAATGGGACATTGTGTGCTGGTGGTTCGATTGGTTTCGATGTGATGACAACCGTTGATTTTTGTACATGTATCGGAGTTGTTGTCGGCACTGGCATTGGCACGGAAATTGGCATCGGCATCGGCATCGGTTTGCTCACAATTGTCATAACGGGAGTGTTTGACACTTTTGATACGATGCCCGATGTTGTGGTGGCTGTTGTTGTTTCAATAATCGGACGAATTTCACGTGATGTCACCAAAACACTTGGCTTATTCATAAATTCAGCGCCATGACCGCCAACCACTGGAACGTATTGTCCTTCGTTTTTCTCCTGTACAACTGTCATCTCACCAGTCACCGGATCAATCAATGTCATTGGCTCGACAGATGATGATTTTCGATTTTCAACATCGATTGACAGCAGTTCCTTAACCACTGGATGAGCCGGTATTTTCGGTTCTTCAATTATTTTAACTTGTTCCGGTTTATGTGATTCGATGCGACTTGTTTCGCCCGATTCGGATGCACTTTGTGTTGCCTCCGAGTCATTGTCACGTTTTTCTTCATGAATTTCGCCACGCTGTGTATCGTCACCCTTATTGTCATCAGCAGTGACTTCTGTTTCGGTCGTTTTAATATCCTTTGCACCGCCTCGTGTTGGACGTGGTGATTTACGCAATTCGGTCTTTTCGTTGATGGTCAGTTTGACAGCCATTTGATTTGCCGTGCTACGTGTCGATCTTCTTGGTTGGGCCTGACCCGATGTGGGTTGCACCGCTGAAGCTGATGTTGTGATTACCGTTTGTTCTTTCGAAAGATTCTTAACCACATCTTCGATGGTATCGTCAATAGTGCTCCTCGAACCATCGCGTTCAATCAATCGACGACTCTTGCGCAAATTATTCAATGCAACAAGATCATCCTTTGCCTCGTCTTGTGATCCCTCATTTGGTTTCTCAAGCGGTTTCTCAGTCTCAGCGGTTTGAACGGGTTTCGGTTCGGGTTCAATTGCACTAATTATCGGTTGTGGTTTGCTTGGCTCATTTGGAGTTATTTGGGTATTCGGACTGGATGGTTGAGTGCTTGGTTTTGAGAACGATAAAGCGCGTGTTCTTGGCGCATCATTCGTTTGCACGGCCATTGTTTCTTCGCCCGAATCCTCGTGGAATTCATAAATGTCTGACTCCGAATTATTGCTACGTGATTTATCGTTGCCGACAACAACAATAGCACCGCCCTTTGATCGGGGTGACGCATTTCGATTGCTGCGTCCACGTTTCGGTTGAACGACGACCACTGGTTTGGTTGTGACACCGCGACGTGTTTGAACGCCCAACTGCAGATCAATGGTGGCCAACGCGCTTGGTGGTGATTTTTGAACTTCCATTTCGACCTGTTGTGTTTTCTTATTACGAGTGATTTTTTCACGTTTTGTTTGGCTTTTGGCATCGATTTTACCGGCGTCCTTTGCATCGTTCTTTTCGACAGGAATGTCTTCCGTGATTTCGACCTTTGGCGGTTCTGGCTTGACAATCACCTTCGATTCGATATTTGTCTCTTCATCCGTCGTACACAACGCATCCACTTCCTTGATCACCGATTCAATATTCACTTCCTTTGCCGTCCAAGCTGACGATGAATCGTTTTCGTCTTCTTTCACCTTTACTTCTGGCTCTGTCGTTGATTTCAATAAAATGCTCTTAATCACCGATGTTGTAGCCGTCGCTGGTACATCGTCTTGTTGTTTATTATTTTCAGCCAATTTCTCCAATGGAATCGGAGATTTCGAGGGCGTATCCTCTTTGACGTCAGATTTTTGAGGTATTTTTGTTTCAAACACAATTTGTTTGGGTGTTTGTGGCATTTGTGTATTGATCAATGTGGAAGGTGTGGCTGTTGTTGTTTCATCATTTTCCGTATGTTTTGGTTCAGTGTCAGCAATTACAGGTTTCGACGTTGGTGGCATAACAACAGAAGAGGTACGATTTGGTGGTGGATTAGTAGTGGGTGGTTTGTTTGGTGTCGTTTGTACTGGTGGCGGTACAATTTGACGCTGTTGAATCACAACGTGGGAAAGGGAAGATTTGGCTGGGCTTATGTTGAACGGTTGCCGAATTTGTGGTGCGACCACTCGATTCAAAATTGGATTTTGAATTGTTGTTGACGTTGTTGGTTGTTGTGTAACAGTTGTAGCTTGAGTATGATGAATAATTGTACCTAAAATTTGATGGGAAAAAGAAAGGATTTTTATAAAAATTATGATTTAGCCCGATTTTCTTAATCAATTGAAATATGGATGCTATTTGAAAATACTTACTTGGCGGAGATGGTTTGGGTTTGTCATTTGAAATGCTCGGCACTTGAATGATATTCGGTTTGTTCATAGTTGGTGTACTAATTGTTACTGACAATAGTTCAGTTGGAGCTTCGGCCAATTTTGGAATAATTGGTGGTAAAATCGGTGGCTCCACAAATGCTTTCGATGGTGTAACAATCGTTGTCTTTTGAATACATTCCGACTGTGATTTATCGCTATTTTTGCAAATATTATCTTGTGCATTTTCAACTGTAAACACGGCCGAGCTCTTGTTAACCTCGCTTGGCTTTGTTTCAATTTCTTTGCCACTCGATTTCTTTTCCTTTGGTGATTCAGGTTTGGTGTCCTCGTGCGAGACACTTTCGTCAATTTGTAAGGCATTTCCGTCGTCTGGCTCTTCGGTATCGGTGTCAATTTGCAAACCATTATCACTTTGTGGTGTGTCTGCTTTCATATCCAAATCATCATTGCCCAAGCTTTGTACCGCCTTTCGCATTTCTTCGGCCTCTTCTTCGGCAATGGCACCGTCCGATGATTGCATATTCGAACCTTCTTCAATGATTGCATCTTCACCGAACGAATATCCATCGGTCATGCCGAAACTTTCACCCAACAATGCGGCCACCGCATCTTCAGTTTCTTCTTGTGAGATGACAACCCGTGATTTTTCTTCGATTTTATCATTTGATTTGTTATCGGGACTTGGAACGGATTTCTCTTCAACCGGTAATTTTTCGGTTTCAGATTTTTCAATCACATTGAAATTGGATGAGATCGATTGAACGGCTGAATCATAGATGTTTGCATCGATTTCCAAACCAAAACCAGGGATAATTTTTGCATCTTTACGCTTGTCATCACCGTGCTTCGATTCGGTTTTGTTCTCTTTGGCCGTTGGTTCGGCCGGTTCTTCGCTTGATTTCCGACTGTCCATTGAAATCGGCGAATCTTTGGCCAATGGCAGATCATCCATTAAATCGGTATCAATTGTCAGCCGTGGAGTTGTTGGTGGCGAAATAAACGATGACGAATGACTTGTATGATGATGATGATGTCGTTTTTCTTCCTTTGACTTCTTCTTCTTTTTCTTCTTGTCTTTCGATCGATGACTGTCGTTGTTGTCGGATTTGCGTGACAAAAACATATTGTCCGGACCTTCTTCGGTCTCTGAAAAACGGAATACATCATCGTATGGTTTTTCCGAAGAGATGTCCATTTTGTTGGTATTCTCTTTCAAATATCCAAAGTCGGTGATTTCTTCTGGTTTTTGTTCACTATCTTCAAGTAGTTTTGCTTCCACTGCCCGTGCGGCTGCATCCAAATCAACGCTATTATCATCATCTTTGCTGCTGATCGATTGTTGTTGTTGCTTTTCACGTTCCTTGCGTTTCTTCTCCCGTTTCTTTTCGCGATGCTTTTCCTTTTCCGTTTGCGAACTGGACTGTGATTTTGCTTCGGAATTATTTTCATTTTGATTGTGCACTGCCGCCGTCGATTGTGCACCGCTCAATTTATTCGAATGAATGTTATTCGATGCATTCGATTTGTTGGTCGTTTTATGTGTGTCAATGGTTGCAGAGATGTGTGAATCATCATCGGAAATGGGTCCAAAAATGTCTTCCATTTTTTCACCACGTTTACTTGAAGTGAAACTTTCTTGCGATTCAAACATCGATGTATCGGATGACAAACGATTTTGTTTCTTCAATTTTTTCATGCGATATTTTTCCTCTTTTAATTTATCGTGTTGTTCTTTTGATGATTTATCACGTTTCTTCTCCTTTTTACCGTGACGTTTCTTTTCATTTGTATCGCGTTTCAATTCATCAAACATTGTTTCCATTGAATTGGATTTTTCCACTTTAATTTCTTCGTGTTTGATTGGTTTCGACTCATCAGTCGATAAAACCGATGGGCTCTTTTGACGTCTCTTATTTTTCTTGTGCCGTTTCTTAGCTTCAGAACTGAACAAATTATCGAATATCGATTCTTTCGTTTCAGATGCTTTGCTACTTGGTGTTATTGAATCGCCATCCGATAAATCGCACTGATTCGATGAACGTTCGGGCGATGGATAATCGACTGGTTCGGTTTTAATCTTAAACTGACCCATATCATGTTTTTCTTCCTTTGGAATGTTACTGTGTTCCGTTTTAATTTCACATTTAACATCATCATCGTTTGTTTTCTCTGAATGCTCCTCTTTGATCACCGGTTGCGGCAGTTGTGATGGTGTTGCACTTTCGCTTGCATCGTCTGATGTTTCGGATGCAATACGAGCAGAACGTGAATTTTTCCGTGATGAAATGCGACGCCGTGGTTTCATTTGGAATTGATGTAATGAACTATTTTCCGAACTTTCACCATCGCACAGTTCATTCAATCGATTCCGACGGAAATGTCCTTTTCGTGAACTCGATCCCGAATCCGAAACCATGTCTTTATTCATCGAATGACGACCGTCACTGTCTTCGGACGATGAGTCAAGGAAATGTTTCATATTTTTATGTTTAACACGTTGTTCATTTGTGTCCATATCCGAATCCGAATCTTCATCGTAGCTATTTGAATTTTTCTTTTCTTCGCGTTTCGCTCGGCTCTCTTTCAATTGACTGAATTTGGCTTTTATTTTCTTTTCCTCTTCTTGTTTTTGCATATTCTTACATGAACGTGCTTTCACCTTGTCGTACATGGAAATGTATGCGGGACCATCGTCGGGTATATCGAAAATGGAATGCTTTTTCGGTCCATCGGAATCCGAATCGTCCGAACTATTCGATGTTTGCTTACGAATACGACGCAAATCCATTGATGGATTCGTTAGCTGCTGCTTTGACGATCCATGTGAATCTTCGTTTCGTAAACGCTTTTCATTACTATTTAATCGATCCATTCGTTTTTCTGATTTAGATTTATCCTCACGATGGTCGCGTGCACTTTGCCTTTCATGACTATGATGACGATGCTGTTCAAACATATTTAAACGTTTATTGTCCTTATTCTCTGATGACTTTTTCATGATTTCATCGTCACTGAGACGACCATCGTTTGAAAAGCCACTTTGTGTTTCCATATCTGTAATTTAAAATGATAAAGTTTTAGATTTAGTTGGTTACGAATGGTTTGAGTTTAAATTTAACAATTGCATCAAGCGAACAATTTACACAATCAACTCTCTACTTTGAATTGGTTCAATTTGATTCAGCAAATTTAATCATTTAATGTGTATTTTACACTGTTAGATTGGACTGCTTATCACAATAAATGATTAATTTTATCTTTAAACAAAAACGACCCACTAAATTTTGATGGAATTTACTGAGGTACTATGTACTTCTATTTAAATAAACAATTTTATTAATAAAAAAACACTTACGAAATTGACTTGTTGATTTTTCATCTTTGCTGCGTCGACTCCTGTGTGAAGATGATTTCTCACTTTTGCTGCTGCTGCGATGTTTATCACTTTCACGATCCTTTCTACGGTCTTCAAAGCTGCTTTCCTTTTTCGATCGATCGTCCATCATATCGCATGAGCTGTCTTCCATCTTGTGCACATTGTTCATTTTACTGAAATTCCGTTGATGTTTTGACGATTTGTCGCCGGATCGACCGTTTGGATCTTTAAAATCGCGTCGCTCCATTGATTTAACACTTTCGGGATTGAATTTAAACCGTTTGCCATCGTCACTGTCAACCGATTCATGTGAGCTCAATCGTCGTTTTGGCATTATTTTGTTCGGTGAATTGCTACGACTATTTTTGCTCGAATTCTTAACATCGTCACCATTACCACTGCTGCTATATTGCTGACGATCCAATGGTGTACTCTCTCGGGATTTGGTCGCATTTTCTTTGTTATGTTTGTCGCTCTTTGTGAAATGATTAACCGTAATAACATGCTCTCGATCTTTTGATGGATTTTGTTTGTATTCCGGTTTCCAATTATGAACAGCATCGTCGCTTTCCATTTCTCTGCGTCGATATTCATATTCGTCCGTTTTCTTTGATTCAAGCTCGTATTTAATGCGTGATTCGTCTCTATCTTGTGATTCAATTTCGTTCTCTATCTTGTGATTTCGTATTTTATTCTTATTTTTTCCCGCGTCCATTTTCATTGAATCGTGCCGTTCGTGTCCGACACGCTCGTTTTCAGTTCGTTCGGATAGGATTTCCGAACTGGAGGCTGGATCCGAATTTTCACTACTGATCGATTCCCATTTTCTTCGATCCAATAAATCAGTCTTTTTTGCATGCTCGCTCTTTGCATTCGAATTCTTTTCTTCGCGTGACGTTTTTCGTGTCGGAATCACATTCTCAAGCGACTCATTACTTTCTTCTTTAATGCTAATATTCAAACTGCAACTTGATGTGAGTGTTGTTCGAACGGTGCCCGAATGATTGCTACCCGGTACCGAAGCACTTTTATTGAGCAAACGATTTGTATGATTTGAATTCTTTGAACCATTATTTGAACTGGCATGATTCTTTTCGTGTGAGTTTGCCGGTTTGCTGGCATGTGATTTTGATTTGGATGAGTCTGGATCGTGCGAAGAACTGGAATTTTCGGCAATTTTATTAATAGTTGCTGGCGTTGTAGCATTCGTAAGATTTGTAACGGACGCAGCAATTGGCGGATGTGTTGGGAATGGATATTGTAGTCCTTTAACCGGTTGCACGGTCGCTATGTTGTTTGACATTTTTGCACCCGACATATTCGGCGTCACAACAATCGGCGATGGTGATGGACTGTTGTACGGCGATTGCGGCTGTGGGCTGTTCATTGGTGAAACGGCATTTAAACGTGGCAACACTTGACTGATCTGGGTAGTAAATGTTGGTGTTTGCTGTGGCGTTGAATGTAATTTTGGCAATTGACTACTGCACGTTGGTGTTGTTATTGGCTTGCTATTATTTGTGGCGACTGTTATTGTTGTTGTTGCTGTGGCTATCGGTCGATTCAAATTGATAAAGTCTTTTGGTTCATATTTCTCTCCAATGTTCTCGAGTCGCTTGAAATCATCGTCGAAAATCGATTTTTTTGACAAAACTGATTTCAAAATGTCCGACGGTTTAACATCGTTCACATCAAGCTCAAGGAATTTATGGCGACCAGAGAAACTGGACGCTGATGTGGGTGTTGTTGGATTATCACTCACTGATATTGATGCCGATGACCGTGCCGGAATGCCACCATTCCACATTTCAAACATCTCGTCCAGATTTTTAATGCGCTCATCAAATGATGGACTCGTTCCAATTTCCGAATCACTTGAATTTGAACTCAATGATGGTGCTTTACACGGACTCTCTGGCGGTTGTTCGATTGGCTGTGCTGCTGCAGCTGCTGCTGCCGCTGCCGCGGGACTCAACAAACTAGCAGTATTGATCGGTTTTATCTGCGATTCCGTCGATTGAACCTGAGAAAGTTTCGATTGCTTGCACTCCTGAATGGATGATGCTGTAGTAATCGATGAAGACGACGCCATTGTTGATAATGACGACGACGACGATGATGATGGTGGCGGTGGCGGTGGTGGTGCACTTTGCGATGTTGAATGATGTACGTTTGGCTGGTGATGAGACAACGACGGTTTTGACAACGATGTGGACGATGACAACGTCGCCGACGACGATGACGACGACGATTCAATCGTCGATGACGGTTGATGGGACTGATGCGAAGAGGAGCGCTCAGTTTGATGTGAGTGTTGTTGTTTTGATTGGAAGTTATGTTGATGCGAATGCTGAACATTACTCAATAAAATATTACTACCATTTGATGATGGTCGTGTGAGCAATGCAGGCGGTGGACTTGATAAAGTATTTCTGAAATTGAATAGAGAGTGAATTTCGAGTGATTTTGTTGCATTTTTTTCATCACAATATTTGTATACATACCGACTAGAATGACTGGTTAATAAGTAGGAAGATAGCGAATGTGTTGAGCTGAATGCACGACTCTGTTGAAAGATGTGTACACCAAATTTCGGCAATGGTAAGTACATCGATGTCGAATGACTTGTATATCTATCGCGTATTTGGCGTCGTGGATCGGCCGGTACCATAATTTCGGGTCGTTCATCACAGAGCGGTGTACCAGGCCTTGAACCATCTGCACTTTCACTGGCCGATGCTTCGTGCGAATGATGTGAATGCAATTGATGTCCACGACCCTTTGATGAATGATGTTCATTTTCACTGTTTGAATTGGCGGTAGTTCGGCGTCGTTTACAATATGGATGCGGTTGATACGCTGATATTTGTTCACTGAGTTCATTGTACGATGTAGAGCTGCCGCTATTTCGAATGTGCGAATGCCTTAATGTTCCGCTATCGGTTGACGGCCGTCGAATGTTGTTCACATTATGTTTTGATGAATTACATTCTGATAATCGTCTCACTTCCGAATTCTTTCGATGGTGTAATAAATTAGTGTCGTTTAGATTGTTTAAAGTAGCATCACAGTTAGAATCATTAACTAGGTTCGTTTGTACAAGATTGCCGGAATCAGCATTGTCGAATTTCATTCGTTTTTTCGGGCTTAAAATTTCATCGCCACTGGACGGGCATTCTTCTAGCTGCTCAAGCAATTGAGAACGTTCCTTTTGCAAATGACGAATATCGCCGGGTTGTTGAAAGTGTGCATTTGAATTTGTATGCGGTGGTGCTGCAATTGCTGTTGGTGTTGCCACCGAATCAGCCGAAACGACAACGCTTTGCACACGATGATGTTTACCGGTACTTGAAAAGTAATCATCATCAATGATCGGACTTTTGTCACGTCGCTCAATTGCATCTATATCATTTGTGTTGAATGGATTCTTTTTTGCATAGGGAAATTCATCATCGTATTTTCGTCGATTGGGCATTGTTGTCACACCGTCCAAATCATTTGCGGCAACTATTCGGTCTTGCGGTGAATCGGTTCGGAAAACATTGTACTCATCGGCATCGTGCGAAGCAGCTGATCCCTGACTGTATTCATCATAGCTTTTAATACGACGCTCTGAATCACATTCCATTGATTGTGCGACCGTTGTGGTGGTCTTTTTCAACGATGTGCGACCATCCACTGACATGTATTCATCGTCATGGTAATCGACATTCGAGTATCGACTATTTCGTCGTACAAACGAACCACCACGCGGTGTTGCTGAACTTGGCTGAGGTGAAACGGCACCATGAAGACTAAACGATGATGTCCTTGAACGTGCTGGTGTATCATATCGACTAAAGCGGCTATTCAACGTGGTTGTATTTTCAAATGTTCGTGTCACCTCTCGGCTTGGTTCAAATACACGATCCGGTGTGACAGAATTTTTCTTTTCGATTTTATCATAGAAAGCATCTTGACATTCGCGTGATGCAAAATCAACTTGAAGCTTCTTTCCGCGTAAGGTGACGCCCCGCATTTCCTTAACAGCCATTTGGGCGTATGAAATTTGTTCGAAAAAAACCAATGCCATCTTCGCTCGGTGATTCATTGTTATTTGTGTGACTGGACCGAATCGGCTAAATTGTGTTGTTAGATAATTTTCACTGGCATTTTCCGAAACACCATGAATCCATACACAATTCGTTGGCATTGATTTACCAAAGCCAAGTTTTATTCGTGTCGAACCCAAATGTTCACCGTCCATTTGTCGCATTGCCTTCACCACCGACGCTATTTCTGAGTACTGACAAAATGCGTACGCATTAACACCTTGCTTTTTAATATCGATTTCGATAATTTCTCCAAAACCATCGAAATTCTTTCTAAGCTCGGTTGCTGTTATGTCTTTTTCTAAATTTCCTATGAACAATGTGCGCGTCGCCTTCGGATGATATTCATCCAATTCAGCTTCGTATGGTCGAAATTCGTTGTCATCAACATCGAATCCTTGATACGGTGCCACCGCAATTTTACAGCCAAAAAATAATTTATCATGCGATACCTCCAATGCTTTGACCACATCTTCTGGTTTCTTAAAACATACTAACGCATATCGTTCCGAACTTTGTCCAACCACTTTGACCCACGTCACTTTGCCATGCTTTTTATATTCATGAAACAGGCCATCTTTTAACGATGTATCCGATGATCGTGACGGTAAATTTCGTACACAAATCGCCAACGGTCGATTATCTTCGGAGTGAACGGCAGGATTTGAATTTGATGATGAATTTGTGGCCGGCGTTGATACGGCCGATTGTAAATTTCTAACACGTGATTTATCACTACTTGTCGGACTACTTGAACCATGTGAATGTGAAGATCCACTATTTGTTGAACTACAACTAGGACTTCGAGAATTCGATCGGCTGGTTGTACTATCACCGCACGGTGATTCTGAACCCGATCGTGATTTCTTCTTTTTTATCAGACCTTTTATTTGGTTGGCGAAACGAACAGAAGAGAAAAGAAGAGAAAAGAAAAGAACGGAAATTTCCCATAAGTACACATGCAATGAACAAAAACAAACTAAAATAAAATATATCGGAACCAAATCGGCGAATGGTTATGCAAATGCTTACCTCTGTTTTTACTTATTGATTTGGAAGAACATTCGGTTTCTGACGTTCGACGATCGGTTGTCGTATCATATGCGCTATCAGGCGTTACAACAACTGCCGCACTCGGTAAATTACCGTACACATTTCGACTTGTATTCGATACATTCGAACTTTCATACCATGTATTCGAAGACGACCTGTGTAAAATGCTTGAAGAATTTGACCTGAAAACAATGCGAAATTCAATTCAATTATTATTCCATTCATACGAAAAAAAGCGAGAAGAAAATGATGTATTCAATGAAATTAACATTTACCTATCTACTGTTGACGAATATGAACCGTTTCTAAAATGTCTATCTCTCGGTCTACCTCTCGATTCACTGTGATGATAATTTGGTCGTCTAATATACATATCGGAGGCGGATGATTCACTTAAGCGTGTACTACGATCGTAAATATTCCGATCAAAATTCGGTGACAAATCCTCGGATGATCTGCAGAAGAAAAGAATAAGAAGACAAGATATCAATTTAATTCACATACTCCTTGCCATGATGACGCAAAAATAAATGGAATCAAAACTAACCCATGATTTGATGTGGATAGCCGATGTGCCACCGGTGGTGAAACGGTCGTCGATGACGAATACTGTTGTTGTACTGACTGTTGAACGGATCCCGATAAATTCGATGTGTTTGAGCCATGTTGTGGCGATGGCTGTTGTTGTTGTGCTGTTTGATGCTGTTGCGCTGACGTTGCATTTGTTAAACTAGATATTGATGATGGTGAATTTTCACCCGATGTCGATGGTATTGACGATGGTTCATAATATTCAGTGGTCAATACGCGATCATCAAATTTATGTTCGGCCGTATGTGCTTTCGACGCTGATTTAATATCCATAAATGCAACCGTTGCGCACACACTGCCAATGGCGCAATTGGATGAATTTGTTGTTGGCGAACACAGGCTAACATTATTATTAAAATTGTACATAGAGATCGAGTGATCGTCGGTAGAATCATTGTGATCTTTGATTGGTACAGACGATGAGCCAATTGATAACAATAAATTTGGATTGCAATTCGAAGACAATAGGATTTTGACACTTTGAACACGTCCATATCTATATACATTTGTTGAAATCGTGCAATGGTAACATAAAAAAGAAGAGAAGAAGAAAAAAACCACACACACACAAGAGAAACAAAACAATTAAAACAGTGTTGGCAACAGTAAAAATAAATTGTTTGCAAAATGTTCGTAGAGCTCGTAATTCGTAGTATAACTTAATTTTTTTCTCACATAGTACATAGTATTTTCTTACATCAAACAAAAGAGTGGAAAAAAACAAAACTTGAGAGAGATAGAAAAATTCCAAAGCCGTCTGAAAAAAAATGAACAGCTTCGCAATAATCAAATGATAATAGAAATTCTGTTTTTTTTTTTTTGCTTTTAACGCTTCGTAACTTTCAGAATCTGGCCTTAGAAGTTCTATGCATTGTCTATTGCAATTGTTCGCGTTTAACTTGCGCGAAGCAAATGAACAGATAGCAACAGATATAAATCATCGTTCATGGCATCAATGTGTAAAAGTAACACACACACACACAGTGAGATAGAGAGAAGGTACAGCAACTAACAATCTAAGAAGTGAGTATAAAGAAAGAATGCTGCCGCTGGTGGTGCTACAAGAGAACAGTGAGACACGCACAAAACGTATAAAAGCATACATAGCAGTATTGAGAAAATAAGTTCTAAGTAATTTGCGCATAAATTGTTCATTCACCAAAGGTAAATAAACTTTCGAGGTAAACAGGTGCTGAAAAAATAGAATAGATATTACATAGTTTTTTGCTTTGCTTCGGTCGTCGTTATTGCTGTTATTGTTTTGGTGTGAGCATAGCATTGTTTTCTTTCTCTTTCGTTTTATAGTTGTAGTTGGTTGTATGTTGTTGTTTTTTTTTTTCAATGATCTCAGCTCACTATAAAGTAATTGTGAAAAAAAGCGCTTGTCAGCCAACTAAACATACGCATACAAATCCGCTTGAAACGCAGCACAGCCAATGTAAATCATTTTTGTTGTTGTTGTATGTGCTTGCATTGAAAGAGCGAAATAATTGCCTTGTTTGTTGTTAGCGCGCGCGTACAGCACTAGCGCGGATTTTCAAATGTGATTGTAAATTGTGTCTGAAACATTAAATATTCTCTTTTGTTTACAACAGAGTCATGCCATTCAGGCGGTACCACCACCAACAACAACAACAATGTGAAACAAAGTCAACGCGTTCGCAATAATGCCGTGCCATGAAATCGCTGGGGTTTCCATTCTGCACTAATACTCAAACTCTTTTTGTACGATTTTTTCGCCACAACGTTTTTTTTTTCTTCAACATTCGCGAATACAAAAACCCACTCCATTTACGTCTCTATATCTCTTTGTCTCTTTCAATCGGCTACATTTCAACGATTACAAACTTTACAACACCGAATTTTTAAGTTATGTAATATATATACGCAAACTCGCTCAAATACAATGAAGACAAAAACTCGTCGACTTCTATCTTCGGCGCTGCACAATAATTTATGCTTGCGATGTCGAAGACGACGACATTTGCAACAACAATAACAGTAGCTTGAGAAGCAAACGATAATTGACAATAATCCAACACTTTTCATATTCAGTTTGTTCCAGTTACATTCTCGATTTTCTTCCATTCAATTAGTAAATCAAAATTTAAACGGCTAATTAATTAAGCGGCGTTATGTCACCAATGAACATACACAGCTCACGTTTTTAAGCATAAAAGGTAAATAACAGAATATATCGAAATTGAATGTTGATGGGTTTTTTCTTTTGCATATACATAGAATTATTTAAGAGACAAAAGCATTCGAGCAATCGGTATACAAGAAACATACAATATTACACTCAGTATTCTAACGATATTCTATTGATATTGTTGTCGTCGTTGAAGTCGTCAAAGATAGATATAAATATATACCCATTTTAACATTTCTAATGTCAATTAATGACATGAAACATACTTTTTCGATCGCAATATCTGTCTGTGTAAATGCCAAACATTATTTAAGAAGATATTTTTTCTATCTCCCTTTCACCTCTTTCTCTCTCTCTCTCTTTCTATCTTTCTTTCTCTCTCGCTCGATAAATGATTGAAGAACAAAAATTATTGATTGGCATGACCTAACATACACAGTGTATGTACAATACACTTTTCAATTGGATGCCATTCAATATTAATAAATATTCCTCAGCCAACAGTGCAAATACAATTCGAATCGAGACACAAATTGAACGACACAGAGAAATTACATCATGGATTCGTATGCGAGGTGTCAATTAAGTTTTGTAAGTAGAATAAAATGAGTGATATGCAGAGAGAAAATGGATGTCAAATCAATAATTAAAATAGTTTTCTAACGAAAGAATCTTATCATTGTGTAATTTTCCAATAACATTCCATATCTCAGACTATAGAATAATTTGGCTATTGACATCGTATAAATATCCAAACAATAAATTGTTTGTCTCAATTTCCAATTTCGCCCTGGCGTCTTTCTTTAAAAAAAACGAAACGTATTTGAATTATTTTAACTTATTCGAGATTAAATGGACATAGCATCTACGATAGTGCAAAAATTGTCATATATGATTGACAAAATGACGACCTCTTTGCATCTCAAATGAGACGTCTGGCTAAAACTGGATCTACATTGAATTTCTTGCAAAAATTTCGCTCATTAGTAAATACATATTCCACGAGTCATTTTTTTTGCGCCAAAAATTTTAATGAAGAAAACAACAAAGATAAAGTCGGCATTCATTACGAAACAAACGTTTCATTTCGTTATCACAATGTGCTTCATAACTGATTGGATCAGATTTTTAAATATGTAACGTTGTTGTGAATTTCTTGGAATCTGTCGCAGTGTAAAAAGCTTTGTATATTCAACTTTTTTTTGTTGTATATTTAAAGCAAAAAAAAAACGAAAACTGTTCAAAAAGCACATGTCTTGCAACGCGTGTTTCTGTCCCATAAATATCTCACGCGCTCTTTTCAATAACACATCGGTCCTGTTTATTTAACCACACACTGAGTGCGCACAACTGATGATCGATGTGTGTATGTTTTCATTTTTGCACTCTGTATTTAAATTGTCGGCCGACTATTTTGATGAAGACAATCTTTTATTTTTATTATAGTAAATTCATGAAATGCTTTGCAAATGGAGTCATGTGCGTTAAAAGTGAGTACAATATGGCCGATGATGGTGTGCCTTCGAATGTTTCAATTCAATTTAATTATTTGAAATTCGGAATTTTGACGTAGAAATGTTGTAAATTTCCATGTAATTTGGGAGTCTGACTCATGCGTATTTTTTCATTCTAGCTGCTTCGAATATTTCAATTCGATTTTTTTTTTCTAGATTCTATCTTTGGAACACTTAATGCGCTGAGAAAAGCATATACACATCGCAGAGCAGTGTGAGAGAATGAATTTTCGAAACGACTCGAAATGAAATCAGAACACATGGATTTGATGTACACAGACAACCACGCACACACACACACACATATATGTATAAAATTTGTTGCATTGAACGAACGAGCAAGTGAATGAGTATTCGTACGATAATAATCAATGAACTAAATAATTAATTCGCGTTTTCGTCACAACGAAGGTAAATAGTCATACACGCACACCTATTCACATATATCATAGTCAGAGGAGTTAGAGCAGAGGCAGCGGCACCATTAACCTGTAATCATGCAATGTATATCGGATCGATGATGTGTTTGGGCTTGCACATTTATAGCTTACGATCGACTCTTGAGACATGAGTATGTCTCTCCACACACACACACTGAATAATTTCTAAAATTGAAATCTCACTCGCCAACCGAATTCAAAATAAATAAATCAAAAACAAACACAAAATTCATCTTTGACGGGGCCAACGAAAAACGGCAACAACGAACATTTTCGTCATTGTAAAATGAATGAACGAAATGGAATAATTTAAACTATAAAATAAAGGAATAAAATGAGTGACCAAGAGAAGGATAGAATATGTGATGATATGGACTACATGTACATTGCGTGAACATGTGAATGCGCCCCGTTTACATATGCAATTAGGAATTTCAATACATACATGTAAAATCGAAACCAAATACACGATGAACATTTTAAGACGAACATCGTACATTCTTTTCAGTCAGTTCAATTTATGCCGCAATTTCGTATATGCCATTTACTTGAAGCGTGTGTGCCTGCCATATTATGTGGTGTGCATTTAAATTGTGCGAATTTTGTGAAGAGCACTAAATTTGTACATAGTGTATTATTACACATGTATATTGGTCATAATAAGAATAAGAAGACTATTAAATCCTCGTTCGGATTACAAACTCGATCTCTCTCTATCGCTATCTCGTTCTCGGCTTAGAACGAGAATGTGTGTGCACAACGAGAAAGAATGAGAAGTCAACAGTCATTCTATGGCGTGTTTGTATGTGTCTCATTAAGTACAAGTTTAACACTCATCTTTATAATGCCATATATAAGAGAACGGTAATAATTGTCAGTCATTTGGGCTGAAAATCTCAATGCGCCAAAAAGAGAACGCTTCAAATGAAAAGCACCACAAAAATAATAATAATAATAACAACAAAAATAACACAATTCATCAGGCAGCAGCAATAGCCAAACGAACGCAAATCAAAAGACAAACACACAATGTTATTAAAACGAGAAAACGAAAAAAAAAGAAGAAGCAGGGATAGAGAGAAAAAAAGGAACGAATGAACGATACTATAGAAAAAGCCTTAAAAAAGAGATGACGACGACAACAGCAAAATGCAAACGAAAGAGCGAGAAAACGAACAAACGAACGAAAATTAAATGATGAGATTGAAATGTGGCAACACAGCATTTCGTTATAATAACAATAATAATCAAATCCAATCACGTAAATAACAAAATTGAACCCGAATGTAGCGCTCGTTTGGAAGCATTGCCTGAGCACCATTCTATCTCGCTTGCTCTCATTGCTTTTTCTCTCATTTACTCCCGTTGAGTACGTGTACCGATCGTATTA